CCACGTCCAAGGAGTGCCCCCCCCCCCCCCGGCAGTTCTTCCAGCTGTTGAATCCCAGTGGGACCTGTACGCTGTACCCTGCTCTCCTGCATGAGAGCTTGCCTGGGGACACTGCCCTGCAGGGCACAGCAGCCCCGGGGAGGGAGCCTGCAGGGGCAAGGGGGTGGCAGCCGCACAGGCACCAGCAAGGACAGACTCATACCGAGCTGCCCTTCACGCTGTGCCAGCTGGGACTGCTGCTGTCTCAGTGGGCACTGATTCCCCTGAGCTCCCCAGGGAAGTGTCGGTGGCTCTGCAAGGGGCAGAGCGGGCTGTGGGCCACGCGGGGTTGTGATGCTGCACAGGAAGGCTGTGCCTGAACATCCACCTGGGTGTAAATTTAGGTGTAATGTGTCCTTCCCACTAGAAACCTCATCTGCGTGTTACGGCATCTCCTTACTCCTGCGTGAAACAAGATACCAAAGTCTGGTATTATTTTCGTCTGTTGAAGTTTGTGTCTTTCGTTTTCCTTCCTTCTGCAGCCTATGATGAAATCAGCAGCAAAATGGCCACATGCAATAAGATCTCTAACAAGGAGGATGTTTACCAGCTTTTTGGATTTGCTAGAAATGCCTTCACCATGATGGCCATGATGGACTACCCTTACAAAACTGATTTCATGGGTCACCTCCCGGCCAATCCAGTGAAGGTGAGTACCAGGACATGGTGAGAGTTGCATTTTCTGATGTGCACCTCAGTGTCTGCACAGCCTGGGATGCTGTCAGGCACATGCCATCGGTGATGCTGGCAGGGGGAGGTGGTGGTGAGTGTTGCGGCCCTTCTACTCTGGCAGTAAATTTACACATCTTAAACTTCTCTGTGACAGTGACTGCTGTGTTTGCAATGCACTGCCATAAGGCACGTCGGGGAAGGTTTGCTGGAGCCTTTCTCTGCCTTCACCTTAAACACAAAGGCCTGTGCAAGCTTGTTGACTGCAGCTTTTCAACATTAAAAACCTGTAGCTTTTTAAAAAAAATGTAGTTTTGTTGTAGCCCACCTCAACACGCTTTCATAGATGTATTTTTCTTGGTGGGCAGGGATGGAGATCAAATAATCAGGCTCCTTTCTAAGTATCGCCCGGGAAGATGACATACCTCAGAGTATAATGCAGAGAAGTTGCTGCTGCTGTAGGGGTTGGAAAACCTGGAGACTGTCAAGAGAGTCGGAGATGGCAAAATGTGGGAAAGGGGCCTGGTTCTCAGGGAGTTACAAAGACTTCTCGGACCCCATCTGCTTTTGAAAGGTCCCAGCTTGGATCACCAGTTGCTCTTGCAATTCTTGGTTTCTTCTGGTGTGCTATCAGCCTCGTGCTGCCGTTCCCTGCTGCGCCCCAGCACCCCATGCACTCCACGCCGACGGGACTTTCTTTACCTCTGGCCTTGTGGCATTTCTGGTTCGAGTCCTACCTGGAGCACAGCACGAGCTGTGCAAGAGGTCACGCAGGCTGCGCTGTACTGGGGCTCAGAGATGCTGCACTGGGCAACCAGTTCCCTTCTAGGGTCTCTTTAACAACCTGCAAAATGGAAATAATTATTCTGCCCCACCTTGAGAAGGGCATTAAAATTGTAGGAGGAAGGAACTGTTGTGCATCACTGTGGCCTCTGCACAGCTGCTTGGATTGGTGAAGGAACTGTTCGTCCTAGCCCTGTGTCCCTGTTTCTGTGTAACTTCTTGCTAGAAGGGAGGGGGGGGAAACCACACCAAAAAACTCCAAACCTGTTGCATTAGGCCTTTCGAAAGCTGCTGAACCATAAAATGTGTAAGTGATAATTTCAATGAATCTTCCTGCTTAGCCCTTCTGCGGAGCAGACTCTTAACTGTCCTGTCTGCAATTTGCCTGTAATGTGTCTCATCCAGGTTGGCTGTGAACGCATCCTTGCCCACGCAGACCCGATTCGAGGCCTGGCTGCGCTTGTTGGTGAGTTAATAGTATCAGTTTGGTCTTTTATTTAATGCCTTGTTTTCTAGACGCACCTGTAGGTAGAGCTGTTGGTTGTGTGGGTTGTGTATGGTCGGAGCTGGTACGACTCCAGTCTCCCAGTGGGACGTTTTGCCTCATATTGGCTTTGTCGGGGTGTCCCGTGGTGGCCCAGGGGTTCATCTTCTCACCTTTCCAAACTTATCATCATCAGGCTTTTCAGCTATCGCAGCCCCTTAGCCTGTTGACTGTCTGTGAGATGTGGACTTCTAAGGTACTTGCTTCTTTTCTAAAAGTTTACCCACGCACTGGCTCAACCAGTTCTAGGTTCGCTGCACGTTCACTGAAGGAAGGTCTGCTTGTTGAGGACAAGGTTGTCATCACAGTGCCCTATGCTCTTAAACTAGTGGCAAGACAGCCTTAAATACATTGTGTATATTTGTCTCTGAGTACTTAATTTGTCAGCCTGCAGTGTTTGTAAGGAAATTATTAGAGATAGAATTCAAAGATCTTTTGGAGACTTCCTCATAAAATCTTTCAAGTTGCTCATTAAAAATAAGTTCTACATAGGTTATTATTTAGAAAAACAGGTTCTGAATGACAAAAAATTGATTTAAGGAATTCTTATAGGTTTAATGCAGCTTAGTAGGATTGGGAACTAATTCTTTTTTTTGCAAATTATGCATGTCACCAAGATCGCATCAAGTCAGAAACATACCAGTTCCAAACCACTGCAAAAGATGCTTGGCTGACAACTAGAAGAGTTGTTAAAATACTAATGTCTTGGCAAACAATGTCAGATCTGCTTGACATATTCACATCCTACTTCTTTTCTGAGGCAGAGTGGGACTCTTGTTTCTTTGTGATGAACAAGCTGAGGGTAGATTTCTTCCTTCTGCCTGCGGGGGAGCAATTTGTGCCTCTCCCCTTCTCACCAACTGCATTCACTTGGGACAGCTTAATCATGCAAGCGGCATGATCCACCAGAGCTTTAGGCAGGGGACTGGCTTTCTTCCATACCTGCTGCTCTGTGTCATACAGGAACACACTGTCTCCTTTCTGCATGTGCTGCAGCGACCCACCTCCTGCAAGGTAGAGCATAGACTCATGGGCTGTGATGCTGAACTGGCAGCAGTTGAATGGGGATAGCGTTAGCGTTGTCCACTGATTGCTTCCAGGACAATAATACTCCGTCTCGTTGACGTGAATCCATTCTTCCACCTGCAAAGAACCAGACCAACACTCAGCCACCGTAACACGCCTCGAGTGGGCATCACTGTCACGTCAGGCTCACTTGGTTCAACCAGTGTCTCAACATCTATTTGAATACTGTGGGGCTCAAGGTGCCAGATTTTTCGATACACGTTTAGCAATTAGAGCCTCCAAAGAAACTGAATAAAATACCAGAATGGCACGGCTTTAAAGGAGCTTTGTTGTTCTTGGCAAATCAGAGGAGTGAGCTGAGCAAGGGACCTACTGGAACTGGCATAGCCAAAGTCCTGCCTGCTGTCTGGACATTTAACACATTACGCAGGAAACCATCTAAAGAGGGCTATATTGCATTGAGGTGTGGACAATAATTAAGTTCGTGTGATCTGGAGGAATTTGATGTCAGCCTTGGTGTGCAGTTTCTCTTTATATGTTTCTATCCCTTCTTCAGTGAGGAATTAAGTACTCTAAGACACCCTCATTCCTTCAAAACAAACCGTACCCGTCAGGGTAAAATGGGGCCAGGCCCTGAGCAAATGGGAATTGCTGAATGATCTTTAAAAACTCAGTTCTCTTGGCTTCAGGGAATGGGATTCTCCTAAAGTGGTCCTTTCAGTCCCTGTCAGGTCTCTTCCAGCTTGCCCTCCCCAGAAGGCTGGGCAGTGCTTTCCCTCCTCTTTCAGAGATGAGAAATCCAGGTTTAAAGAGACTTCATTTGCATTCCAGGACTGAGGCCCATCTTTCCTAAAATCTAGGTCAGTGTCTTCACTGCAGTCCAGTCCTATTCCCGTCTGCCAGTGATTTGCCCCCTCTCAGCTCGAACAAGGAAAATCAGGCTGTCAGTGTGTTTGGGGCAGGTACGTGCCTAGTTTCACACTTGGGTTTTCCTGCGTTAGCAGGCTGTGCCTCCACCATATGTTTTCTCTATTAAAAAAAAGATGCTTTAAATAGCCTTTGTACTTTAGCAAATAAGAGTGTGACAACAGGGCAGCTTCTGCTGTGCACGATTGTAATGGAGGCACGTTTTCAGAAGCTTATTGGCCTGACTTGCAACTGTGCCAGTCCACTAAGAGACCAAAAATAATGAAGTTCATGGTCAACTTGTTGGAATAAAACAGAGCCTAGCAATACAGAGACCCCATTTTGGATCAGATCTAGGATTATAAGAGCAAATGAACTTACTCCTTTTAGCGTCCTTCCTCCAACACAAAAGATCCTGTCCCTGACTGTAGCCATCCCGTGATTGCAGCGGGTGAAAGCCATGGCACTGTTGCCAATCCAGCGTCGGAGGCGAGGGAGGTAGCTGTAAGTGTCTCGTAAGGTTTTGCCCCCAGAGAAGCCCCCTAGAAGGAAAGCAGAAGTCTTCAGAATCTGTCATCCTCTCTGACATCCAGCAAACCTGCTGCAAACATCAGCAGAGATGATTTTTTCTTTGTTTTCTTTAAAATACCTAAGAAGCTGAGGCTTAAAATTTCACACCATTCTGCAGAGCTGATGCAGGGTGAAATTTAAAACCTGCGCTTCGTAGGTATTTTAAAGAGGAAAAAAACCCCGACAAACCAGTTCCAGCTCTTTCTGCAAATAGTTTTCCACAAAAGATTTTTGAATAAAGCTCTTGGGATATCTCAAGTGTAACCAGGAACAGCTTTAATTAGGGAATGTGCTTCCAGCATGTGCAGTCACAGAATGGTGGTTTGAAAGAAAAGTGTTCAAAGCTTTTTGAACTTTGGCTGTTCAGCAGAAGGTCAGAGCCAGTCTGCCAGTGCTGTTGTCAAGTTTTTCTCTTTACTAGGCACTCATGTGTTTCAGGGGTGCATTGTAAAAGGCTCCTTGCAGAAGGAAGGTACTGCTATGGAAGGGTAAATGCCTCCAGCTGCCTGTTGAATTCCAGCCTGCAGAGAGTCTTTGCAAACAAGGAAGATGATATTTCAGGTTGGCCATAAGCCCCAGGTCACCTGGGCTTTGATGCCTTCTGTGCGGGGACATTTTGTCTGCGTGGAGCTTGTGTTTAAGTCTTGTACTGAAGTAACGATCTTAATTTTTTCAGTTTGCTTGGGTAGTGCCATAGGCTGGCCAAGTCAAATTTGCAGGTACCCCTCCAGTTTAGAAGGAAATGAATGCTACAGGTAGGTAAGATCTTACACACAAGGGGTATAGTGTTACCCAGCCTAGATCACTGTGGGATGTTTGAAGCTCTGTCAAGCAATTTTGTCCTTGTTATCTGGTAGGAATTGAGACCAACAGAAGTGAAATGAGCTGCCTGTGGCAGCATGGGCCAGCTGAGTCAAAGCAGGGACTTGAACCTGAGCCTCAGCCGTTCTCCCAGCTGAACCATTACTCTTCCTTTCTGAACATCTCTGCTGCCAGCGCAGGAGCCCTGTGTCATTGGGCACATGTCAGGGTAGGACAGCCTGTGTGCTGCCCTCCCTGCCCTTGGGGCCTCGGGTGAACAGCCACCACAGAGAATTCCCTTCATTGCAACTGAAGTTAATCTGGAGTAGCTCAGTACCATCATCCCAGCTGGCCATAGCTGGTTTACGAAGCAGGGAGCCTACGGTGATGGCAGACTGGCACAGGACTTTTAACTGTAGAGGCAACAGCACAAACAACACAGTACTTTTCCTAGGACAAACCAAAGATTATCGTTCAAGTCCAAATTAGTAGCTACAAAAGCTAAAGATCCTACAACAATTTCCTGAAGTGTTTAAACCCATGCTGCTTTATTGTTAAACATCCTGTACCATCTACCAAAAATCCCTGTAAAGACTGAGGATCCCTTGTAGGGCAAGGGCTGTACAGGCTTAGTGGGTAAGATTCTGCATTGTACTTCTTTTTGTACAAATTAACAAAGCAGCACAGTAGCGTTAGTCCCACATCTTCCATTCAGATTAATATTGGGGTTTAATCCCATCCCCAACACTATGGTAGCCTGCTCCTGGTTTACCTCTTCAGACAGCAAAGCTTTTGGATTTAGCCGGGAGTGCAAGTTGATGATGTCACCTTTGAAGTCTTGGAAAGAAGATAACTCCTGCCATTCAGGAGGGCAGTGAGGCTGTGCTAACACAGCAGGAGAGGGATGCTGCAGCTGTGGGTGTTACTGGTGTGGGTGCAGGCTAGGACTGTGACATTAAGATCCCAGCAAAAAATCAACAACACTGTATGAAAATATGCTGCTTCCTACTGGCTCTATCACCTGAAATATAGAGGATTCCCTTGTGGGTTGTGCCTGCGTGATCAGCAATAGGCGTGGGGAAAGGAGCTGCGAACTCCCACTTGTTGTCAGCGGGCTGGTACAATTCCACGGTGCGAGTGAGGGTCCCCAGCAGTGTCCCACCACCCACAGCGAAGATGCAGTCAGACAGCACATCCGTGTGGAAGCGTGTCCGCCTCTCCAGCATGCTTGCGACCCGGAGCCAGGAAGTGTTTCGGGGATCAAATCGGAAAACCTAGGATCACAGCAGAGGGATGGTGGTTAGCAGAAGGTGGGTGGCTGGCTTGCATCTCGTGTGGCTTCGACAACTGATAAACATTTTCCTTGGGCTGAGGAAAGCCGGACAGAGCCGGACAGGTTCAACTTCCAGTGCCAGGCAGCTGATCCAGCAGTACCTCCCCAGGGGAGCTGGAGGCTCAGTTACAGCCTTTCTGCAGGTAGGGGGGGTCTGGGAACAGGTGGTGCTCTGAGCTTGCAGCAAGCAGGAGGTGAAACACATTGGTTTAATGAAATACCTTTGTTTTGAACACCAGCTAGCATGTGTCAGCCGAAAACTCTTTCAGTGAGATTTAAACAAGCACGTTTTGCATCTCAGCTACTGTTTGAGTGTGTAGTAAAGACAGCAGCTGAGCTTTGCCCACTGCTGTCACCCAGGAGAAGGCAGGAGTGGCTTCCCCTCCCCTCCTACCTGGTGGCATCACCACAGTGGCATGGCACCTCTGCTAAGGCTGGGCTTCCAGTCACATCTTGTTCAGTAGCAAATACCTCCCCAAGCTTGTTTTGTCAGTCCTGGTTAGAAAGCCCAGGTCACCGAGCAAGGGCAGTATCTGCAGAACCACGTGTGCTGAGTGCTGGGTTTGGGCTGTAGCCCAGCAGCCAGTGCCATGACCCTGCTGCTTCAGCATCCTCAGCTCCGCTGCTGCTGAGCTGCCACCTGCCTTCAGGGCAGTGGAAGAGAGCTGCTGTTTGCAGTGGCACTGCTGAACTAAGTATGATGCTAAAATAAGCCCCCTGGGAGCGTGGGAAAGAAAAACATGCTGCTTTTTTCTAGCAAGCTCGCTGAAGCTATCTAGGAAAACATAAAATCCCGCATGAGTCTTTTCACTTTGCAGGCAGAAGGGGAAGGTCCTGGGAGCTAAAGAAGATTTGCCTTTCAAGAGCAAAAACCAAGTGAAGTGGTAGGCTTTAACCATGTCTCCCGAGCACGAGTCCCGTGGCAGCAACAGTGGGGACAGGGGTGGGGGTTGCTTGATTGACTGACATGGACCTGGCTGAATGTCTGCTGTGGAAGTTGCGTACAGGTGAGGATGAAAATTTACAGTAGAAGCAAGGTGAGACCAGGGCAGGACCTGATTGCTTCCCAGAGAGTTTGGAAGCTGTATTCCCAAGGGCTTTCAGTACTGCACGGAGCGCTGAGAAATATGTAGAGGTGGGAGATCTGTGGTGGGCAAGAGGAATGACTCCCTCCCTCCCCCTGCCATTTTTCCAAGGCTAAAGTTTTCTTGTGTCTTACCTCGTTTGATGGCTGCTTTCCCATGGGATCAAATTTATACTGTCCTCCGATGACAAAGAGGAAGTCATTGATGATAGCGACACAGTGATTGTACACTGGCACACAGAGGTCCCCGACCTTGTGCCAGGCGCTGCAGCTCTGGTCTGCAGCCCACATCTCTCCACACACGCAGTTGTTGGTGGTTCTGCCGCCAGCGACAAGCAGCATGGTGGAACCGGAGCGGAGGCCCGTGCTCCGGTTCTGCAGGACTGGCTGCGCATACAGCTGGGAGTGGTAATTCAGAGCCTCCTGCAGGTACCTGTGGCAGCCTGAATCCAGCCTCATCAGAGGCGTTTCCTGGACATATCTCTGCAGATCCCATAAAGGAATGAGAGGGAATCTTACGCGCCTTAAAATATCTGCTGCATCTTTCAGCCGCGTGTGGTCATGCTGCAGCCAGCTCACAGCGGCTCTGAACAGCTCCAGCTCGCTGCAGCCCTCAATGTTGGTCCTGTCTAAAATTTCACAAAGGGTTCCTCGGTCCAGGTCTTTCAAGCACTGAGGATCAGCCAAGATCTGTTTGTAACGCTGCCCTACGTAGCACATGGCTTTCTGCCTCAGCTCTGCTGGGCTGAGTTTTTTAGCAATGTTAAGAACATCCATGCAGTTCTCACGGTTCAAGCAATCCTCCAGAAAGTGAAAACACAGCTTGAGCACCTCCCGAACCAGGAGGGTTTCTGCAGCTTTGAAGGTCTCCTCAATGTTCTCTAATGAGAGGTCTAGTTTGTTGGAGTAAATGAAGTCGAGAACGTTCCTCAGCCCGGCAGCACTGACAGCTTCCAGCCGGATGTTACTATCCAAGCTCCCTGCTCTTGTCAAGCTTCCAACAAACAGGATCTTGCAATAATTACTTGCTGATGCTAAAATGATCTTGTGGGCTGGAAAGCAAACCCCTTCTGCCTCCAGCATCACATCACACAGCACGCTCTGTGAGCGAAGGCTACTCAGCCCTTCCAGGAGTTTTGCCAGGTAGGTGTCGGACTTGAGCCTCGCTGTGCTGGCCTGCGAGCCTCGCAGCATTGCTCTGAAGGGTGTGCAGCTCTGGAGCAGCCGCAGGACTCCTCACTGCACAATCTCAGTGCATCTCCTGGGCAGTTTTTTGCAGCTGAACCAGTGGTTTCATGCTTCGAGGGAGCTGAGGCTGTGCTGTCTGCCCCACAGAGCCATCCAAACAGCAGTAGCTGCAGCAGCCTTCCTCCTCAGCGGCCTCTGCCCTGTGCTTTGCAGGCACAGGATCGTGTGCCTTGTAGAGCCGTGCAGGGGTGGTTACAAGTGGAGCTCTTGGTGCGTGTTCTTGCACAAAACTCCCAGTGTTTGTGGGTTTTGCCTGTGGGCTGTGACACTGGCAGCAGCAGACGGCCACCAGCATCGCTGCATTCCTCCTCCTTGCTATCTGGTAACTACCCATCTGCACAAAAAAGCAGCTCATTCTTCGGCAGCTCCCCAGCTATGCTTTGCTGTGCCGCCTGGTCAGGTGCTCTTTCATCTGGGCAAGCCTGTACATGCCGTCTTTCCCTTCTTGAGCAAGTCAAACAAAATCCTGTCTGTGATGTGCCAGCCTTGGCCCTCTGACTCAATTCAGACAACAGC